CAATTCAATATAGCGTAGATTCAACATAGTAGCAAATAATTTCATATCTGTGTTTCTAGGTATGAACTATATAGTGCCTAAAATATAATGAATTGCTAGCTGTAATGCAATTCAAGGCAAGACTCGCGTGCATTTCTACTTCCTCGTGTATGCACGCGTAACATCCAGTGTAATTTGCTAGGGATTTGTTATTTCAAGAGACGTCACTACAGTAAGTTCCGTTCATCTATCGGTTTTGCATGGGTTTATAAAATTCTGCGTACAGCTTCTGCATGTAAAAAAAGAAAAGAACTATTACTATCGCCAAAATTGCAATTGGAATTTGTTGCATTTCTAACAAATGACTTCTAAACCGCCTCTGTATTCGAGGAAACAAAACACCAACGATGCAAACTATAAAGCATGTGAATGTCGTACGTCTGTTCAATCACTATTGCATGATATATTCAACTAGTTATATTATCACTATTATCAAGTTGATTTAAGCTATTATGATTTTTTGTTAACTATTAACTTCGATCTTGCATGTAAATTTTCGGCTTTCATTATTGGTCCTGCCATGATGTCATCAGCCTAGCTGCAGCGGCTGTCGCTGGCTGAGCGAAAATTAGAGAAAACGGCGAACGAACTGTTGAGAAAACATCGAACGAAGTTTCGGAATGATTCGTTTTGCTACATTGAGCGTTTAGCTAGTGGAGATGTCTGCAAATAACGCACCGATTTGTTTCAGTGTAACAGAATCTGACTGAACTGCGCTTTTCGGTTATATTAAGCAGATTCAGCCCATCGGGCCATGCGCTCCCGCAAATGGTTTCTAAAGAGCAGCGGAATACGGCAATGAAGTCATACCGACGTACGCAGATGCACATTGTGCACAACGAAATTGATAAACCAGGGACGATCGCATATGAACAGGGAGCATATCTTTATATCCAGAGAAAAAACCGATTTTGAAACTGTTAACCAGAATAATATGGAGTTTAACGCTTGGAAAGTATCTACTGAACAAGACTTTAAATTCTCTTGACATAGCGTCGGACGCAGGGCCGAAATATGGAAAAGAACAATAAATAACGTTCCTACTATCGCGCTCGGAAGCAACCTCACTGAATCGCTTAGACATGAATTTCTTGTTTTGGGTATACACCAAACTTGCCGGAAATCCATTAAGCGAGAAAATATTTCTTAAAAATTCAAATTCAGCATGCATAGCCTGGTATGTTGAGCAAATGCGAAAACCTCTGTATAATAATGTTTGAAGTCCATTTAACTTGAACCGGAATGAACAAAAACTAAAGAAACTGGTATTTAGGCCGGTGAATGTCGGCTTTCGGAACACAGAAGTTAAAAAACGGCCATTAGATTTCGTAATATTGCAATCAAGGAAGGACAAAATATTATTAGATTCGAGCTCCATGGTATATTTGATAGAATTATGTTGCGAGTTTAGGTAATCAAAGAATGGTTTGACATGGGAGGGATGTTTGAAAATTAGAAATGTGTCATCGACACATCTGTTATAGAATATTGGCTTAAAATCAAGAGGACAATTGGCCAGCCAAGAAACCTCTTGAAAACACATAAAAATATTTGCAAAGGTCGGGCCAAGCGGTAGTCCCATGCCTAAACCGTCAATCTGTCTATAAAACTTGCCAGCAAATATGAAAAACGAGTTAAGAACTGATAATTCTAAAAGAGATTTGGAACAAGAATCGTTAACGATCTTGTGTTTGGTTTAAACCGTAAATTTTTCAAATCTCTTTTAGGATTATCAGTTCTTAACTCGTTTTTCATATTTGCTGGCAAGTTTTATAGACATATAATTTTTGTGAACTATTCTTTGCTTTTAAATTTTTAGTCAGTTTAAATATTATTAATTCAGATTATAATAAGGAACTAAAATCATCAAAGACTTCGGTCATTGATTTTTATCGCGGTCCTTCAATGATAAAGTAAAAACTGAAGACATCTTTTCGTCGTAAAACCATTTGTTTCATATACACAATAAAATTGTCTAGGTACCACGTAACCCCGGAAGCTCAAAATTTTGCTGAGTAGGGTATAATATGACTTACAAACCTGCGCTTGCACACAAATCGACGCCATTATAGGAGCTAGAGATGGTCATGGTTTGCTCATATAACAGAATCTGACTGAACTGCGCTTTTCGGTTATATTAAGCAGATTCAGCCCATCGGGCCATGCGCTCCCGAAAATGGCTTCTAAAGAGCAGCGGAATACGGCAGATGGCCGACTAACGCCTGATTAACCTCAAAAACCACTCGATAGACGGAGAGGCGACCAAAAATTTACTCTGAATTTCGACTGGGAAGTGGCGAGATAGAGTTTTTATTGTGTCAAAGACGTTTTTACATTTGTCAGGTTCAATCGCACAAACGAAATACATGATCTTTGATTTGGTTCATTCTATCCATTTTAAATATGCAAATAATGAATTTGTTGTAAAAGTGTAATCTAATAGCGAATTCTTGTGCACCAGTTGATGAAAACCGCGTGAAGTTGAAGTCTGGGGAATACATCAACGCATCCCACATCGTAAGTTTCGTCGATGCCTTTGCATGCGGTGAATGTGATTTTTTTTGAGGAACAGTCAATTTAATACATTTAGAATTTATTAATGTTAACTGACATATGTTAACATTTTTCACGGGTGAATTTTTAGCAAAACATTTCTAAAAAGAAATTAGCTAAAATTCACACGTCCTATGTATACCTCGCTTATAATTATTCTGCTGTACTGAGCACCTCGAATAATGTTGCTCATGTGAATCATTTGATTTTGCTTCAAATCAAAAAAGTACGCAATTTTAATCTAAGCGAATTCCTAGAGACGTTGTACATGAAAGTCGTTGAGGAAAAAAGTTCCACAATCAGTTCAAAATTTTTAGAGGAGGACTGATAGCGTATGGTGAGCACTGAATTGAATATTCGATTTATTATGCTACAATTAATTGATGTAAACTTGAAACAAAGAACGGAAATAACATCTTGAAAATGTAAGGAGAACTCTGTTTTATTGTTGTCTTGCACTGATTGGATCAATGAAAGTAAGGAACAATATCATAATACTTCTGTGCTCTGGAAGAAACCTTTCAAGCTTGTGTTTCTAGAGCGGCATTCCACTTGGTAAATGAATTTGCCCTAATAACTGTTCACCTGTACTTCAGGATGGCGGCTTCATAGCAACGCAAGACCCACAGCAAACGACTGAAGATGACGAGCTCTTCTGGTCAATGGTGTGGGAGCATCAGGTGTCCATCATCGTCTGGCTGTCAGCGGACGATAAAAATCTCGGAAAGAAACAAATGGGTGTAAGACTTGTGAAAAATTTAACAGGATTGTAGAAGATGAAATATTTTTTATTTAGAACCCCGGTATTAGATTTTCATCTGTGTATTGCAATGTAAAATACCTTAAGTCTTTGATATAAATATATAATATTAAATAAATCCCGCATGACAAGTGTCAATTAATGAAAGTACGTAAAGAGCGACTTCTCGGTGAACGTGGACACTAACTTGAGGGAAGTGGAGAGAGTACGTTGGGATGCTGTTGCGGGAGAGCGAGCAACACATATAGGCTACCCCAACGGGATAGTGAGAAAGCAAGGTAACTAAATTAACACAGTCATCAAAAGTTCTATTTGTAAAAGAGTATTAAGAATGAAATGCACGTGCATTATTCAATGAAGAAACCATATAAATGAACAAGCGATTTTATGAGAAGCACAGCAGAAATACTAGGTAACTATTAGAAGGGAAATGTAAAGTTGAACATTGAAGGGCACTAAATTCGGCTGGGCCCATCCGTTCCGTCACCGGTGTTATCGCCGAGAGGAAGTCAAATTTTATTGAAGATCGACAAGGTCAAATCAATTCAAAGTGTGGGAATCTCGCGGAGGAGCGCAGTGCTTGCCGAGATTACACCGGGACTATTAACCAACGTTGCCAACAAGTTGCAGCTTTTTTCTACGCTGTTCAATTAGTGGGGAGACAGATTTTCAAATAAACGACAAAGTCCACGCGACGTACAGCGCCGGAAACGGTAGCCTCTTCGAGGCTGGTTCTCTATTGCTCCGCTTGCCTGCAGCCGTACCCGTCCATGGCCGACGAAAGAAGTAATCGAAATATAAGGACCTGGTTTTAAATGAATGGTTGACAGCAGCGTCGCCGGTAAATCCAAGGTATTTCCTTGTCAGACAACCGACCAATTACTACGTCCTGCCACGCCCGTCCAGGCAGGCGGCTCAATCGAGAATAAGCCGACCAAGGCTCGTGTTCAGTACCAGTTTCGAGTAATGCGTCGTAATGAAAGAAGGGCGAGAACGACAGTCAGAAAGTCGGGCCGCTACAGTACGTATGTAGAGAGCAATACCTTGCTGTACGTGAGGAGATTACCTTGAAGTACGTGGAGAGATTGATCGAGAAAAACCGAAACTAATTCTTCCTGGAAAGAAGACATGATGCGGTAGAAATGATGAGGAAAATGTAAAATACAAATAATGGGTTCAATACTGTCTATATTAGTTATCCGAGAGAATTTGTATCGCGTAAAATTATGTAAATGTTAGTGAGAAATACAATTTATCAAATAATAGACGAGATGATTGGGTTTACATAAAATTCTTATTAAGAAAGAAAAGTTTGACTCTAATCAGCGATCGCAGTTTTGCTTTTGCCAGCAAGGCAGCTTGATAAATATAGTTTATCAGCTTAAAAAGCTTTAAAATGTTAACATATGCCGTGCAAAATAATGAAAATTCAAAACTTGCGGGGATCGCTGGAATTAGCTTGCGACCGTAAATTATTCCCGACGATGAATATTGCGGCATGGACTACATAGTGTTGGGCAGTAGTGATTGGCAGACGGAGTATCAAACTATTTTTGTTAGTTCGGCTGTTGATTAATTTTGCAAATAAAATAATGTATAACGAATAACAAGCTCTCGATAATGAATTTTATAAATTATATATACAGGACATCGGGAAAAGGCAGGTGGTGCACTATCACCTTAAGAACTGGAACGAAGGCAACCCTCCCGAGCCGATGAACTTCCTCAAAGTCCTGAAAACGATCAGGGAACGCAAATTCAGCTCCATGCAGTATGAAGATGGCGACGAAAATAGGGTCCTAGTGCACTGCAGGTGAGTCATTATTACGAGTTAATTGTTCCTTATATTATCAGTCTGCATATATCGCAAGTTTACAAGGAATTTAAAAACAAAGGAAACGCCAAGCAAATTCACCATATCGATATTGAAAGCGTTTCGGAGTCCAGCTCCATCATCAGATCGACAATCTAAAAATGAATAAAATCATTTTATAAGTCAAAATTCTAAGACAGACATAAAACCTAAACAAGACCTGACATTATATCGAAAAAAAACAGAACTCGATCGGAACAACTTAGTCCTAGGGTTCACGAAAAGAATAGAACTTAAGAAAAAACAATAAAACATAAAACCTATCGATTTACTATTTCAAGAGGATATGAACTAAACGCATTATTGAGTCGCGGTTTTCGTTTGAAGATATGGAGAGACTTCAAAATCCTCGAATACGAGCAACCAGAAGTGCAACCGAGTTTCCTGATATCACTCTCAGATACAGCACTGTTCAGCATGGAGGCGTATACGGAAGAATGAGGAGGCTTGCCGAGAGTCAAGTTAGAACGATAGCTCCTGCCGCGGTGTTCAGAAACCCTGATGTAGAAGTTACGCGACGTGATTCCAACGTAAGCAGATGCGCAGCGCGCACCACTGTACTCATAGACTAGGTTTGATTGCACCTGGGCAGGAATAACGTCCATAAACCTGAAGAACGAACCAATTTTGAAAGTTATTACAAGCAAAACGTGCAAATTAATATTCGGGAAATACTTCATAAACAAAGTCTTTAGTTTCGGGTGCACTACCAAATAGTTTCGGGCGCACTACCAAAATAGGGCAACGTGCAATAAATAGTTTCATTACTATCGCATTCAGTCACAGTTTCAGTTTATGAAAATTTGTTAGATAAGAAGCGTTTGATTTTACTAAACACATGGCATGATGGAAAAACATTCAGTTGAAATATGTTACGAATAAATTCGAATTCCAAATGCGCATCATGGAAGGTAGAACAAACCAAATATCTGCGGTATGTCTAAGTTTGAAGACTTTTCAATTGGAAACGAAACGAGCAGAAGCTAAGAAAGCTCATACCCAAGCCGGTAAATTGCGGTTTTCGATATACTAAAGTCCGAAAACGACTGTCAGATTGCGTAACTTTACAATCGAGAAACAACAACCAATATTGTTGGATTCTCTTTTCAATATCGATATGCTGAATTTGCTTTGCGTTTTCTTTGTTTGTAAATTCTTCAAGTTAATTGTGGAGTTATCGGTTGTTTGTCGCGTGAGTATCATCTACAGGTCGTTCGGAGTTGCATTATAGTGGTAAAATTTTTGGAAAATTGAATGTTATGTTCTAATTTCTTACTTTATTGGCGTGTTTTTGTTAACTTTGGTTACACGATATACGCTTATTTTAACATTTATTTAAGATTTTTTGTTGGTTCTTGTTTGAAAATGATAAGCTCTATAAGTGAATCTTTCGAGAAATATTTTTGGTCTCTTAATGCAACTACTCGGAAATTTTCATTTCTGACGTACCAGTAATTTGCTTTACAAATTAATACTAATCCTAAAGAACGCAAATAAGTTACAAGAATTCAAGATTTCATGAATTTTTATAATAGAAACATTTTATGATTGAAGAGATGGAGCGAACTGCAGCGGCGGCTTCATAGCTGTGTGGAAGCTGATGGACGACGTTGACCAAAACCAGAAGCCAAATGTCTTCGCAACTGTGGAGAAACTGCGACACCAGCGCATGCTCGCCGTCCAGACTCCGGTGAGCGAAGTTAACTTCGGGTGAACGTTCTTTGATTCTGGAGAAGGGTTGATATTTTGGGGATTTATGAACCAAATGTTATGGCATTTTGCAGTAAACTTTAGAATTTTATACTTCGAAATGGAATAGTACTGTGGATCAGAATTGGTTATTGAAATTAAATGCAGTCTCACTTTAGACGCATATTGTTGCGATCTCAGATATTTATGTAATCTTATCTAAGATTTCCATGAACCGTGCGCAACGCAAATCGTCATCACTGAGAAAAAAAATTTAAATCACTACTGAGAAAATTTTTCAACAATCATATATACAGTATATTGCAGGCAACTTATTGTTTATTGAGAGCAAGTTATTGATAATTTCAATAGAATGCATGTCCACGAAAATTATTTATAAAAGGATAAAAACACAACAAATCTATTAAACTTCTCCCACAGAGCATGTATTACTACGTCCATAAATGCATCGACCTCTACGTTGAAAACAAGAAAATTTTCAGTGAAGGTAAGCCAATGACAAAAAATGCAATAAATAATTATTTGATTTCTATCATTGTCTGTGCATTGAAGTCAACGAATTTTCGTTTTTGTCTCTAATGATTTGTTAGTGAAATAATACCTAGTAAAAATAATGGAGATTTAAATTCTCTATAATAATGTATCACAATTTTTTTTGCATTATTAAATGTGCCCACTTTTTTCATTTCAGAACGACACGGTAGCTGAGGGACAAATTTACGAATGTTGAGACATGGCAGGCGCCAGAATATTTTGTTGCAGTATAACTTTGGTTTCAATGAAATTTCTACGTATAATGTTTAAATTATATACACAAATAATTCTTTCTTGGACAGGTAATATTAAACTGAAAGAGAAAATGATTTATTATCTTTTAACTTGATTATTTCACTGATTGTATTGGAAAACAGAGGAAACAGGAAGCAAACAAATAATTAATATTATAAAAACAAAAAGTCAGGGAAAATAATAAAGTTGTTATTTCAGTTCAGAATTTAATTTTCAGAATAGCTAGTTTGGAAAATAGTTATCGTTAAATAATTTATGAAAATGAATTATTACTAGAAAAAGGCTAATTTTTTAAGGTTGAGTATTAATGTAACAATTTCGGGCGATGAATTGATCTAACGATTCACTCAATTATTGTCGCTTATTTGTTCGTACGTATACAAACCCAAAAACTAAATAGATAAGAAATACGATAAGTCCGATCGTTGACTGCTGATTATTGATAAAATTATTATTATATGTTGCTGTTGATGCTTGAGACTCATTGAAATTCCATTAAATTTAATTATACAAATGTTTATTGAGAAATCATAATTTATACGACACATGTGACAAACAACCAATTTAAAATTTAGGGCAGTGAATAGAACAGGCTACGCCGACTAGTTTCGACGTTGAGACGCGACAGAGCCGCGATAGAGCAGAAATGTCCGCAGTAGAGACGATATCTCCAGCCGCGGAGCAGCGCTTATTACCCGCAGAGCACCTGCCCTGGCGCGCTCTGTCCTGCTGACACGCAGCTATCAGCGATCTCCTTCGGCTCGAACCAGCTCAACGCCTGCTCTGGGACGGCTTGGCAGCTCAAGCTGCAGTTGTGCTTTACCGTTGGTCAACAATATCCTTTTCTCGTCTAGATCAACGATACGTTTATTCTTGCAATGATAGGTTATATTGTAATTGGTTGCCGAACATTTAGACCGTATTTACATAAGTAACGTAAAATCGTAATTAACTGATTTTATTACCAATCATAAAACAGTTTTGTACAACATAACTCTTTGAGCTGTCCCGGAAAGAAACGTCAACTGTCGCCCCGGAATTCGAACGCTAGTCGATCAACGTCATAAGTCAAGGGCTGAAGCACCTAAACCTTCCAGACACCTACCTCGGCGGGTCTCAATCAATTACTTAACTATAGTACAAATGATTTGTAGTCGGCAAGTCTAAGAATAGCTTACAGTTGTGAGTGAACTGAAATAGCGTATTATGTCACGTGAACTAGATAAAGGAAAGAGTCCCTACCCCTCTCCCTCTCTCAAAATCCCCCTTGTATTGCACGGCCTGCATAGCTGCTCTGCTCAGCTCGCTGCCGCGCGATCCAAGTGCCAGCGCTACAACAGCGCCTCGTTCCGTCCCTGCCGAGCTGTCGGAATTTTTCTCCATATTAGCCATGGCGCAGCGCTGTTTTGGGGNAAGTTCATTAAAATTACGAAATTTGTTCCCAACATTGTTTCATTCCGGAGATGTAATTTTTCCTTCCGTTGTCAAAATAAAGGAAAAAATATCTTGCTTTGGGGAGAAGAATTCGGTAAAGATGCAGCATGTATTCACTCAACACGCTTAGATGAATCTAATTGTTCAAAAAAGAAAAAACAAATTCGAGATTTTATATGATATTTGAGAGGAAAACAGAAGCGTTCTAAGTAAATCAACACACGAGAGGACCGATCAATAAAATATCAAAATTAACTTATAGGATAGATTATTAGTTGGTGGACATACTGCAATTACAGCGGACAGTCTTTCCTTACCGTGAAAAACGAATGACAATTTCACAAAGAACTCGAGCAACGATTTGCCGTCGACCACCTCGTCCCCTCCTTCAGGTGAGATGTTCATGCTTTCATTACCTCACCTAACCAACCTTCAAATAATTCTGAAAATATGTAACAACAAGTTTCTCACTTGCATTCTCGTTACGGGAATCAGTAAATGTTTTAATTAGTACGTTTCAGTCAGTGAATCATTTATTCAAAATTAAATTATTTAATTTATGCACCTAATAGATTACTCTATTATGTGATAAGGCAAAATTAGGTATTTATATTTATTGAAAGTTTACGTTTGTAATAAATTTAATAATTAAAAAATGAAAATATTAACTGGTTATTAATGACTGACCGCTTCGTCGCCAGAAAGTGTGGACATTGGATGATCATTTTCACAAACTAATGCAGGACTTGTCCCCATTGGACGCAACCAACTCGAGATTCGTAGAAATGGTTTTTGTGGTATGGTGGCTTGACCCACATTTGCGCTGTGATGCCTTGACCCACCCTCTCTAGCCCCGCTCAAAAAACTGTTTTGTGTTGAATGAAGCTGAACGATAGATCAACGATACGTACCAAGGAGTGTGAAGCTGAACGATAGATCAACGATACGTGCCAAGAAGAGTGAAGCTGAACTGATATGTAGGATCTGGTTCATCATAGATGAATCATATACGAGGATGATTAACTGACAACATAAAGGTTTTGATGGATTAATTGGAGTTAGCGTCAGAACAGCTGGAATTAATTTCAATTTATTAAAGATTGCATGGCGTGTCAATCTTCAGCTGACGCTTCAATATCGACATTACCAGCCAGTTCAGAATTTCTACTGTCTTTTGTATTAGTAGAATCTCAGCCACAAGGAATTCACAATTTAGTATATGGTACGAATACCTTTCAGTATTTTTAAATGCTCGTTAAACATTAGGATTCCCAAAATAAATTTGTATTATCTCTTGACAGAGCCAAACATCGAGTTGATCGTGGGCATAGTAGTGGTCATCTGTTTGTTCCTCATCGTCTTGGGTCTTCTAATGTAATTCAGACGCCAAATTGGTGCGCTTTGCTGGGAGGCACCGGCAAAAGATATTGAATCACCATCCATCTCACAAAATTTAAATCTTTCATGCAGGCAATATCCGACGAGCTGAGCATCGATACACGCAGATGTCTTCGAACAAGGATAGTCAATTTAAGGAACCCTTGTTGAACTCTCCATCTCAGCGACCGCCGATCCATGATGGGACAGATGGGTACCCTGATGTGATGTCGCTGGGAGTTAGTAAGGAGGTGAGTATCAAAAGTGTTGAGATATTCTTGAGTGTTTAATGATCTGCCTCTCTGCTTCATTATTCAGTTTTATTTTCATCAGTACTACTGTACACTTGAGGATCGTTCATCCTTCATGAATGACGTAAGAAACTTGGAACTTCATCCGAAGCTTTTCAATTTTGACGTTAAGGATGAATGCTTCTCTCTTTGCGAAGGCGAATTTCTGATAATAACATTGGCGACGAATATTTCTCTGTTACGCGTTTCATTTGGAGCGTCAATAACTGAAATCTGATTCATGTCTGCGCAGATCATTGACGAATATAAAAGACTTCCCAAGCCAACGAAGAAAACAACCGAAGCTTCTAAACCCTGCAACAAGTTCCAAAACCGCTACGCAGACGTTCTTCCTTGTGAGTTTTTCCATGTTATTCAAACTTTATGATCCTTTAGGATACAATATACTGAATACATTTCCGAGTTTTTTTTCAAAGCATTGCACCTCACTTTAATTTCTATTTTTAACTTAAGGAAAGTGAAAGAAAATTAGACACATTTTCCACCCTGAAACATTGTTGCTACCAATTTAAAATTATCAGTACCAAAATATGCTTTATATACTTACTTAAAAAGGAGACAATGTGAGCACTGAATTGAATATTCGATTTATTATGCTACAATTAATTGATGTAAACTTGAAACAAAGAACGGATATAACATCTTGAAAATGTAAGGAGAATTCTGTTTTATTGTTGTCTTGCACTGATTGGATCAATGAAAGTAAGGAACAATATCATAATACTTCTGTGCTCTGGAAGAAACCTTTCAAGCTTGTGTTTCTAGAGCGGCATTCCACTTGGTAAATGAATTTGCCCTAATAACTGTTCACCTGTACTTCAGGATGGCGGCTTCATAGCAACGCAAGACCCACAGCAAACGACTGAAGATGACGAGCTCTTCTGGTCAATGGTGTGGGAGCATCAGGTGTCCATCATCGTCTGGCTGTCAGCGGACGATAAAAATCTCGGAAAGAAACAAATGGGTGTAAGACTTGTGAAAAATTTAACAGGATTGTAGAAGATGAAATATTTTTTATTTAGAACCCCGGTATTAGATTTTCATCTGTGTATTGCAATGTAAAATACCTTAAGTCTTTGATATAAATATATAATATTAAATAAATCCCGCATGACAAGTGTCAATTACTCAATTTTTATTAACAGTGCGGAATGTCGTTGCCAAGTTGAAGAGTTTTCTTTTTTTAACCGATGTTGCCAGTCTGAACACAGTGTTAAATAACACAAGCATGTCAAGTTTCAATAACCCAGTGTTTTATAACAGTTTAGAATATAATGGTCAGATCAAAGAAAATCACAATATAAATGATGTTTTCAGTGCGCCCCTTACCTGCCCCTGGACCGACGCTGGGTGTTCAACAACGGCATCGAGGCGAGCGTCAAGGAGAAGAGGCAGGAGGAGGCCACGCACACCACCACCACCGTCTTCCTGGAGAAGACGGAGGGCGACGTGAGTAGCTCTATGGCTAAACCACAGCACCACCTGGCATCTGACTTTGAAATAGCGATGCTTAGACTTTGTTTCGACGAAATCAACTCGTAATCAAAATAGTTGCAACGTCAAATGCCTGCTGGAGGGTAGGTACCTCATCTGCTTTTAGGATGAAAGTACGTAAAGAGCGACTTCTCGGTGAACGTGGACACTAACTTGAGGGAAGTGGAGAGAGTACCTTGAGATGCTGTTGCGGGAGAGCGGGCAACACATATAGGCTACACCATCGGGATAGTGAGAAAGCAAGGTAATTAAATCAGTGTAAAAACACAGTTATCAAAAGTTCTATTTGTAAAAGAGTACTAAGAATGAAATGCACGTGCTTTCTTCAATGAAGAAACCATATAAATGAACAAGCAATTTTATGAGAAGCACAGCAGAAATACTAGGTACTATTAAGGCCCGTTCACACTAGGGGCAACACACGAGAATCAAGTGCCTCAAAGCGCATGCAGAGGCGCTTCGCAGCTGCTGCATGCGCTTTTTGACCGATTGACGAGCTAGCGATTGACAGGGGCCATGCCTCATGCAACACAAGCGCGGCGCTTAGTAGATAGCTATTAAAGAATTGATATCACTTGTATGCTTAAATCGCAAATTAACTAAGAATTTAAATTAAATTAAAAATTTAAGTCAAATTAAAAATCTAAATTAGTTAATTAAAGAAATTCAATTCGTTCTATGGTTTCAATGTATTAATTTGTGACTTCTGATTTGTGATTCTAGATTCTACGAACTGACGATGGAGCTGGTCTCCGAAACGTTTTCTATAAAGATATGAATTTTTGTGGACTATACTTTGCTTTTAAATTCTTAGTTAGTAGATAGATGTCTGTGGTCTAGTAAGGTTGATTGTGTACGCTGGTCCGGCACTCCAAATGTCGACTAAGCACCACTCTCGTTTGGAATCACTCTCTAGTAGAGCGCCTAATTGATCTTTATAGAGAACACGAATGCCTATGGACTGTTCGGTCAAAGGAGTACAAAAATCGAAATGTAAATGATGTGAGTTATTTTTACATGACGTGTTTAGTTTATGTGATTTAAGCAACTCCTGACAATTTATGCATTACCGTTTAGCGATTTCAAAGGATGATATAATATCGGTACGAATATTGAAACTTTTTATTTAAGAATAGACTATATTTTTATAAACTGTATCTTTTTGAATGTGCTAGTTCTCTAATTGTGATGCCTATGCTAAATTCTCGTTTACAACTGGCATAGTGCGAAGAATGACGGACCGCAGCACACCCGACAACAATGACCCACAGCTCAAATTCGGCTACATCCATCCTCATTGACGTCTAGGTGGCAACTAAGTGTTCAAAGCGCGCGGTCTCAAGCTACCGAGTACAGAAGTAGTGTGAACGGTTGTGCGCGGTGAGGCACTGCAGCAAACGACTCAAAGCGCATGTCGTTGCCACTAGTGTAAACGGGCCTTTAATACTCCTTCACTCAAATACACACCTTGTCAAAAATTCCACAACAAAGAGTCCAAAACCAGGCATTACGATTCAAAACAAAGACACAATAGTACGACTTTATATCATTGAAAACTAACGAACAATGCAACATTTCTGCCGTAAACAGTCATTCATGATGAGCTCGCGAAACCTTAGACGCCATTCGTTCTAGACGCCATTGCAAGGCTACACCGGCCATTCCACAGCTCCAATAATATTGGAACTAGGTTCCCTACCTCCCTGTTTACGAAACCACTAACCCCACGTACAGAACTGACAGTTTGCACCCGGTCATCAGCCATTGAATCAACGCGCGCATGGTGCAGTTATCCCAACTATGGACTACCGAACCCCACGACTTACCGTAATGACGATCAAGGCTGATGACCCAAACATAAACTCAAAAATCGGCACACTATACCTACCTCCTGATTCTCGAGAGAACCACCCATCACATTCATTATCACCAACAATTTTATCCCGTCTTCGCATACGTTGTGAAAAATCCGAAAATTTGAAACGTTGAAAATTATAATCAGCAGAATGCTTGTACCTGGAGAGGATATTAAATAATTTTATTTTTGTATAATAACACTCAAATATGAATACTTCACTCCCCACGTGTAAACCCTCTAAACTCTAAAGCCACGACGAGTTCCCTCCCCCCACTAACCCAATCAAACTCCACACCGACATTCAACCTAGTTATTCGTTTTTTTTGTTCTCCAAGTGACTTTTTTATTTCCCATCCATTTACGAGTTCTACGGCTAAAAGTATACGGCTCTTGGTCAATACCAATGGTATAAATCGGCCTCGGAAACGCCGGTCGTTTCTCCGTATACCTGTGGAACTCGCGAACGAAGGCAAAATCGGAAAAATAGTCACGAGCTAAACATCAAAGTTGGGAGGCTAGGTATTTATACACAAAGTTTCGTTCAAATCTGTTCTGCAGCTCAGAAGAAATTTCATGATCGCTGCGAATTTCGGCCCATATCACCAAGTAACTCACGACTAAAGGTGGAATTCAAAAAATTTTCATGCGCTAAACATCACCGTTAGGTCTTAATAAATATATGTACAAAGTTTCATCGATCTGCATTCATTAGTTTGAGACATATTCCTTGAGTGTTGAATTTGGAGATTGGCCGTGAGACCGGCCGCGAGTCTAGTCGTAAATTTTTCGGAGACGTCAAAAAGTTTATGCCTCGCTGATAATGCTCTCAAAGATTGGTTAGTCTGCATCTAAACAGTGCTGCAATTTATCTACGATAATTCATCCAACAGAGAAATTGCCTCACTTCTGTATTCATCAACGTTTTTGGTTCCTCAAAATCTCATGGATGTTTTCTAACGACTTCACGATGCCATCGGAACCTATAACTTAACACAGAAAGGTTGTTAAGCCCTAGTACTTAGGCAAAATTCCGATACTCAGGTTTCAAGGAGTTTTATTTGGGTAATCTTGAAAACATAGTTTCTGCAAGTGTGACATAAGAAATATTAGCTATCTAATACACAAGATAAACAAATATAAGCAAAATTTTATCCAAGTTAACCAAAAGAATATCATTTCAGAATCAATAATGAAAGACTAATAAATTGCAGGACAAAAACTCACCGAAGTATTTCGCCACTAAAGAGGTTTGAACTACGAATGACAATTTATGTCCAGGTAAACTTCGGTCGGATGACTGAAGGTCTTAACAGAAAGATTACGTGAAGCGTGCATGTGAAAAATTGCGATTACAAAGGTAATAATCGATCCATAAACAAATTTACATTTTGGTACTTTAATCATAATTGCATTGCGCTGCAGTGTCGGAAGGATCTTTTTGACTAGCAGCAGGTGTTGATCTAAAATTTTGTATAGAATTATCATACTCATGAATATTCCAACATGATTGAGACAAAATTCTGTAACAATTCCTGCACAGTTTTCTGGAAAGCAAATGTCACTGTTCAGTATAGTAATGTAGGTGTTGAGGAATAGACAAAATTTAACCTGTCGTCGATTCTTGTAATGTTCTTGACTCATCTCCCGGAGAATTAAACTGGCTTTGTTATAAGAGTTTTACAAAACTGACGCTGAAGCTAAGTGGTCACTGAACATTTACCAGGTCTGTGAGGTGGGTGGTAACTTGGAGTCAAAACACATACTTCTTGACAACTTTGTTTTCTCTCTTCTACAACACGTTAATACTCTTTTTCTTGATTCTTATTCCCTTCCGAAGCTCCTTCATGTGGCCTCTCGACAGAACGGAATGTTAGTGGTACCAAACGGGCCAGAATGTTGACAGTATATAAGATTCCAGGTCATAAAGTTATCATAAATTTGCACTGATTTGAGAGACATCATGCACGTGCACAACTTGGGT